TAAAAAAAATGATTGAAAAATATTTTATAACAAAAAAAATTTTTTTTGTAAAAAATGATGATAATACAAACAAGATTTAATATAAACGTTTCAAGTGTTGGTTCGCGTCGCGGATGCTTAATTTTGCATTTTTTTATTCTCTAATATTAAGCCATAAGTTCATAAAAAATAAGAAAACTAATTGCACAATTTGTTGGATTATCAACCAAAGCAGATCACGTGCATAGAGATTAAAAAAGAACAACTTCAAAGATTTCTTGGCATGACAGGTAAATTGTACACAATAGTAGGTAAACCCCACCAAATTCATATATTAAACGAAATTTTATTTTCTAATAATTTTGTTAATTTTTCATAGTGATTATAAATAATTCTACCTTTCTTTTTTATTAATATCAGTCATGAACTCGTGATAAGAACTACTAGTTTGCTTAAACAAGGTAAAAGTTTGTTTTTTCTTGTTTGGTAGATAAAAGAGTTGTTTAGTACAGTAATCAGAGAGGTAAAGTATCTCTTACCAAGTAGTTTAACACCTTTATGCATGTATCTGGCTAGTTTTAGTAATTATTATGCATTTTCATTTGGTTTTGTTCCGCAAACATTTTATTGACCATGAATGTGATGGACAGTAGCGTTTTTCAATAGTTGGCATGAGACAACGAGAGAGGGAGAGGGGGTGGGGGGAACCACTGGCCCATTGGCTCAGTGGCCACCAGAAAGGGACTTCCCTTCTTGGACTGTTAGTGAGGGTTCAAACCTCACCAGCAACAAAAAAAATCTAAAGGTTGTGTTATAGTATTTCCTTGATTTAATTTGGTCTGTATACCCACTAGTCCCTTCCACAGCCTCCTTAGGCTCCCCTCCCCCTAGATTAGGATAAAGTATGTTATACAAATGTATCGTTGCTGATAAAAAAAAAAAAAAAAAAAAAAAAGAGGGGGGGTGAGGGGGGGGGGTACTTACTATTAGGAGGAGCAACGGGTGACTGACTTTTGACCAAGGAAAGGAAATTGATGGGAGTGAAAGATACAAATTTTTTTTTTTCTTTTTCATTCGGAGATTAGATGGTGAGAGAAGGGGTTTGCCTAGCTCCTTGGTTTTCGGCAAGAAGGAAATTGATGGGGAGAGCAGATACCAGAGCTGTGTAAGAAAATGCACGTTGGGGTTGCGTGTTGTGCGCGAGTTCTCTTGATGATACTGCTGATGATGATGATGATAGCAACAGAAGCAGCAAGTATAAAAACTATAGCCATGGGAGAGAAGTACAGTAGTAAATGTTACCATAAAGAAACAAAGAAATGAAAGCTAAATGCTTTCTTCATCACAGTACTTGAGTGATGGAGTGATTGGCGTGCATGTGGGAGGTGTCACTTTGAAGATATATAGTAATGGTGGTGGTGGTGGTAGTAGCAGTAGCAGTAGTAAGTTTGTGTGTTTGTATTGAGGAAGGCAGGGTGAGTCCCTAGGTAGATATGATTCCCCATCTTTAGTAAGTAGTAACCCCTTTGCTTCCAGCACTACACCACCTCACTCGGCCCCAAAAAGCAAAGTAGAGTGTAGTAGCATGAGCAAATTTGTTTGTATTGTGGCGGTTAATTTCCATGCATGGCTCTTGGCTCTTGCTTTTCAAATCACATTTAATCTCTTCTCTCTTTGGATATGGGGTAAATTTGGGAAGAAAAGATATAATCAGGAGTGTCTATTGGGCTTTCTGATTCGAGTTTGGTTCAATCTAAATCCTGATTCATAAAAGAGGGAAGAAAAAATTTTCGAGCTTTCGGAGTTCAACCTCGTATTTGAAGCTCATACTCCACCAAAAATATTAGGGTTTCGAGTCTACTTTAGACTCAGGCTGCAATTTTGATAAAACTGAAATTTAAAATTTGAATTCATTAAATTATTGAATTGTTAAGTATTAAATCAAATATATATGATAGGTGAATAGATTATCACTTATTTTTTAGAGAGTAAATTTTGCTTAGAAATTTCAATGTCACTTAATTCATTCAGATGCTCAATTTTTAATTATCAAACATGTCTGAACATATTAAAATCTGAATCCATTAAGTTTAAGTGCTGAATTGATTTATCAAACAAGGCTTTACAATGAATGCATAATCATAGATAATATTTACATTTATAATGAAAAAGTATATAATTTTTACATAACATTCTATATTGTTACGATTACAATATATGTTATAAATTGCGTACAGAATAGAGTATGTTTTTACATGAAATTGTTGGGACGAAACTTTAGTTGGATTGAGCCTAATAAAACTAGGTCTAATTATTCCGGGTACAAGTAGGGATATAATTCCGGGACCAGGTCCGTTTTGTCAAACAAAAGAACGGGGTCAGATACGGAACGTGGTATTCCGACCCGAACCCAAATATAAATTGATTAATAATTTAAAATATATATATATTTATTAATATAATATCCCAAATTTACTTCTCTAACTATTATTTCAAAAATATATATTTTTTCTGGTAGGCCCAACCCAAATCTGTGACCTGTCGGATCCGGTTCTGAAAGAAATCATAGAGGATCTGTCGGGCATTCGGGTCAAGATCCGGAACGGGTATAGTATAACTGGTCTGGGCCCAGATTTATTAATTCCAGCCCGTTGACAGACCTAAATAAAACCAAGTACAATCAAAATTGAGCATAGGATTTTGGCCCATGTTTTGCAAAGTAACAATGAGACTAGGTCCCAATTCTTTGGTCCGAGCTCAGGCCAATCTGGCCCAACTAATAGTCCTATAGATGAGTACCTAAAGTAGCAAGGGGCGTCGCAGTAAAATAAATCCTTAATTAGTAAGGCTCTTGCAAATTAACGGATGAAATACATCTTAGTCTAAATCTTATTCCTAAAACTGCAAAATTAAATGTTTTGGATAACTATTTTTTGTCAATAAAAAAAACTAATTAAACACCCATTTAGCAAAAGGCTGTCTCTATATTGCCATTATTTTAACAAATTATGCAGGCTGAAATCTAGTCTCATCCCATTTCAATTTCACGAATAGTTTCAATCAGTGTTTTGAAAATCTGATCGAATCAGTTGGTTTCACTAGTTGAACCACCGATGAATCATGTCAGTTGTGAGATTCACTATTAAATTTAGAAAATTAATTGGAGTGGTCAAAGTCGTTCAGGTACCGATTAAGTGAATTAAAAAATTCTTTTTTTTAGTTTTAATTACAATTTCTCCATAATCTTAGTAGGATAGATTTAAAATCTAATTAGTAAGCTATTAATAGAAAAGAAAAATTCAATAGTAACTTCACGTCATCATAATGTTCTTTCATTCCTTCACAAATCACATATTTATATCATGAATAATTTAATGATTTAAGAACTTTTAATGTCATAAATAATAAGGTAATTTGGAGCACAATGAAATTTGCACTGTAATTAGTGCATATACAAAGTCATCCACAAAACCACAATAACAAGTATTTTAACAAAGAAATCTAACTATTACAAATCTATTAATCTAAATGTCAAAAGCATCGCTTCCATGTAAGAGAAATAAACTAGGTTATGAAATAGTAGTGTACTTGGAAGTCGCTTGGTCTTTAATTCCACGGCCATTATGTATGGTAAATTGGGAAATATCCATCATGACTTTGATACAAACTCGCGAAATTTTAGACAAAATGCAACATCAATCATTTTTATGTCAATAGCCACTGGCCATTTGGTCCGGTGGTCATCACTAGGGATGGCAATGGGGGCGGGGGGTGGGGCGGGGGTGGGGGGGAATTTTTTCCCCCCGCTTAGAAACGGGGCGGGGGAGTATACCCCCGCCCCATCCCCCGCCCCGCCCCCCGCAAAACAAAAAAAAATATAAAAAAATATATAATTATATATAACATGTAAGTTAATTAGTTATAAACTTATGATAATGATATTATTAGTTAGATATATTATATAATGTATATTAGTTTATGTAATATAATTGATATTATCAATTATATGAATAATTCTACATGTTTACTAATAGAATTTATTAATTAGTTATACTAAATTTACTAATATATTTATACTAAATTTCTAATTACACTTAATAGAATAACACTTTTTTCTCAAAAAAAAGCACAAACACAATAATGAATTAGTGATTGCATTTGTACTAAAAGTGAAAACTTGACTATTTTAGTTATATTTATTTTATCATATTGGATTGTATTCAAATAACTTCTGTTTGATTGTTTTTATGAGTTTCAATTGTAAAATTACAATGAATAATAATTTGGTGATGTGTTGATATTTTAGTACTTGATTATTTATTAAAATTTAATTATAATAAAATTATATAATAAAATTGTATTAACCCCGCGGGTGCCCCCGCGGGGGAAACGGGGCGGGGGCGGGGCGGGGCGGGGGGAGCAGGAGGCGGGGGACGGGGCGGGGGACGGGGGGAACTAATAGGCAACGGGGCGGGGGACGGGGGAAGGGACCCCCGCCCCAACCCCGCCCCGTTGCCATCCCTAGTCATCACCATCTTTGGTGATGCTGGAGGTCAGGGGTTCAACCCCTGCCTCTCACAAACTTGTCACTTTACGTGACTGATCTTCTGCCCTCACGGGATAGTTCGAGCGGTCCGCTCCTCCTCCTTAGGGTATGACGACCTTCCTGACTTGTCCAGGATTCGAGTCCCGTTGTTAATGTGCTCGGTGTGGAGTAGGGCCTCCACTCCCGGATCGCAAAGGATTAGTCGAGCCCCGTATGAATTGATCCGGACACCCCTGTGTTGACAAAAAAAAAAAAAAAATCATTTTTATGTCAAGAGGTTTAAAAAATAAGCAAAGTTTATTTGGCACCGAAATTCTTGTAGTACCTCATCATAATAATGACATGTCTCTCATTTGATTCCTTCATAAATATTTATGCAAAAATAAAAAATAGAGGTGGGTGAGTTTTTCTCTCATAAAATTCATATAATAAAAAGATGGACCATAGGATCCTAAATGCCACTATTGTCATTTTGTTCTCTCATTTCTATAGTCGCACTCCAGCACTCATTGGACTGGAGTCTCTAATAAGTGGAATGAAAACTCTCGCTCTCGCTCGGCCGCCCGGTTGTCAGTCACTGGCCAAGTAGCTCAACTTCCCCAAGCTTTGCAGCTAATCCCATAAAATCTCTCTCTGCCTTTTGTTGGGCCTTCCCGTCCCCTGGGGGAAGGTTAAAGGAGTTTTAAATTAAAAATAAAAATATCTGGGCGATCCTTCATAATTTGGCTCGTGCTTTCGCTCTTCCGCGGCTATTCTACTTTGGCGACTCCCTTGGGAGCAGTTGACTAGTGACTTTGGCGGTGGTCGTTGGGTGAAATTCAAGACGAGGTCGGAATATTTGTTAATGAACTGCTTTCTCTGCAATTTCTACGGCTTTCTCATTTTTTTGGGTAAAATTCTTATTGTCACTGTAGATTTATTCCTTCTATCAGGTATTTGTACATGCAGATATGAAACCTACAAATTTTGCCAAGGATTAGGTGTACACTTTCACCCTAAAATTGAGGGATTTTTTGCCCAAAAAATGGTCCTTCGTCTGATTCACTAAGCCCGTACGAACCCTTTTTTTTTTTTTCAGCCTTCAGATCTCTGTCAACAATTTCTGACTCTAAATTTTACTCTCTCGGCTTCGATTTGATGGCTGCTTAGTAAGAGGGAAGTAGAATCAGTATTAAAAACCGGAGGAATAGAAAAGGGCGCTTGAGGTTAGAGGCTTTATAGGATATACATTTTATTTCATTTTCTCATAGGTGAAAAGAAAAATAGAGAGGTTTCTTGCCTTTTGGTGTTTTCCTCTATGGTAAAGAAAATTTTAAAACATGTTTGGTTTTTTCCTTTTCGCATAGCAGACACACGAATGCTACACAATTAGTGTTTCTTTTTTTTTTTTTTTTTTTGGTATTTTCAGCTTTGTTTGGAAAGTGGAAAATCCTATCAAGTGGTTTGGTGCCTTTTGTTCCCTTGCATCCTGGTAAATAAATTTCTTGCCATTATTTTTTTCTTTATTTTTTTGCACCACGAAAATATATACTGATCAGTTTTTTTAAAAAAAATTTTCAGCTTTGGTCCGAAAATAGAAAAGGTTTTGCAGTAAAATTTCTGTTCATTTCCAGGTTAGTTTACGTTTGATTTGTATCATTAATTTGCTGAAATTTTTGTTAATATTATATGGGCTGATAGTTTAAATATTTTAATATTAGAGTTATGTGCCTATATGTTTGGCTATTTACTCTGATGATAAGTTTTTGCTTATGCTTCTTAAGAAGATATAGCTGTGCTTTACTGGTTTTATGTGGTATTTTAAGGCATCGAAATATTAATAAAGTATTTTTAAAAAAACGTGATTTTCCCCCCCAATTTATGCTTGCCCTTCCGATTTACCTTCTATGTACATTATCTCATCTCCCAACTATGCAATTCCTTTTTTTTCCTAGAAAAAGGAGAGAATCAAAGAGGGGAAAACACCATACATCTCCCTTCCCCACCCCTATTTGCCTTCCTAGCTAAAAACATGAAGAAAAACACACACTTTCGCATCAATTTTCAGCCATTTGATGAATTTATTGTGAGTTTTTCTAGCTTTTTTTTCTTCCCAAAATTGTGCTCCTAGCAGAAATGTTTGCTTTTGTTATTATTGATTGTTTTGTAAGTTTAAAAGAATCAAGAAGAAGCACAGCAAAGTAAACATCCACTATTTAAGGTGTGTGATCATCTCTTACAAGAGTAGCATGCTTTGTGTTTGATGATTTGATTCTAAAGGTAGCTTTACCACTACACTGGTTTAGTTTTCTGAGAATTTACGTGTTCCATTGTTATGGAGTATTAGATGATTTGAGAGATGCTTTTTAGCTTACTGCTTGGTCCTAAACAAAAATGATTTTACTTTTGCCTTTGTGTTTGTATGCTGAATGATCCTTTAATGTCTTGCAATGGCTCGAACTATCTTTAAATTTCATTGGAAACAATTCTTTGATAGACCTAGAAACATTAATTTCATTGATTGTTTTTTACTTTTACTGCATTGTCATGTTAGTGACTATCATAATTAGGACCAAAGAGCAGTTAGAGAGTATTTCCCCAGCTTCTTGGTTCTAATTTTCTGCATGTTTTGGGGCTGAACAAGTAGAATCTGCACTCAAATCATGATTTGTTTGACATAATTTGGTTTCTGCTTAAATTTTAGTTTTAGGAACTGGTCATGCACTGATTAATTCCTGGCACAGATAAGCACTTCTGATTTCCATATCTTGGTTCATTGAAAGCGGATTGTTTAATGGACGGATCCTAACTTGGGGGGACAAAGGCTTTTAACATACCTCAGTCTTCAATTATTTTGCTGCTTCCTTGTTATATTAGTTTCTCTGGTTTTGCACATGGACATGGGCATTGCTTTAATTACCCTACTGCTATAGTTTGCATATGGACATGGTTTCTCAACATGATGACAATTAAGATCTTCCACGTTCTATTAATTTTAAAAATGAGAGATATAGGGAATTTTTAAATATTTTTTACACAACAAATTGGGCATTGGCTGTTCAACACAGCCAGAAAATTTCTAGTATTATATATATATATATATATATATATATATATATGCATGTACGCACACGCACGCACCACATACTTGTGCACAGAATAAGACATCCCATGACCAATTTATAGCATCACCTGATAAAAAGTTAAATATTTTTAAATGTAAATAAGTCTTTAAAATTGTAAATTCAAACAAATAAATTCATTTCAATTGTACCTACTAGGAAAAAAATCTTAAATCCAACACAAACCACAACCATATTATGAAATTAAACAAAATGCATTGAAACATCTAAAATTAAACAAAATCTAATAGAACTACAAAAGAAAATGGCGATCTTTGAGTTTGAAATGAGAAATAGAGCGAGTTTGGTTACTCTTTTAGAAATTAGGATTGGGAGCAAAAGATTTGACAAATAAGTTTTATGTTTAAAACTTTAGGTTCATTTAAAAAAAAAAAGAAAAAATTAGAAATTGCAATTCAGAGGTCAATCCAGGTTGAACGGTCCAATCAATTTTTTGCGATTCTGACTGATTTTTATGATGAGTTAAACACTAGTAGTGAATCGAACCAAAAACTTGACCTGTTCATGATCCAACTAGTCAAATTGGCCGATTCAGCCTAATTTTCAGAACATTGGTTGTGACACATAAAATATTGACTATTTAGTTGCAATATAATATAATTTAATAGAATGATAAATTTGAATAATATCATACGATGTGTTATTGATAGAATCATATCACAACAGTCAATGTTTTACTGCAAAATGTGTTATTTTACATGTCACAACAGTCAATGTGATATGATTCTACGTAAAATTAACTCCCTCGTAAGCTCCACAAATAGAAAATGCAGGAGTACTTCCTATAATATAATTTGGATCATTAATTTAATTTATTGATCATGGATTAATAAAGTATTATTTACTTATTTTTTATTCTTTTTTTTAGAACGAATTTTGCAATGATATAGTTCTTATGCCATTATAAATTCTTAACCATGACCATTATAGTTCTTACACTGTTAATACTTGAACAACGAAAAAGGACATGAACAAAAATAAGTACCCAGCCCATCGTCAAAACCCACTAACAATCTTCACCAAAACGACTTTTCTAACAATCTTCACCGAACAATTTGAGCCCACTAAGCCCAAAGCCAATATCCACTGCATGCCAACCCAACAGCCTTTGCCAACACAACGCCTTCTCCCCTGGCTTCCCTTCTGTTATAACCTTAGTTTCCCTCTTCTCAGTCACCCTTCTCTCCTACCTAGTTGCCGTTATTTCAAGGTTTTTTTGAGGAGACAAGCTTGGGCTAAAGATTGGTATGGAGTTTAGTTTCTTATTATTTTTGGTGCATTTTTTCTTAAATTGTTTTGTCCACTGAATTCTACTTATCAGTGCTTTTGGGATGTTGTTGGAATTGTCATTTTTCCTTTCACTGATAATTTTTTTTTTCTGGGTAAGATTCTTTCCACTGATTTTAGTAAAGTAGATTTTTTTCCTTGAGATTTTATGTTTTTGCCTTTAAATATCTGTAATTGTGTAGTCAGCTGGTTAGCTAGTCAGCTCTATGAAATCCAAAAAGAATGGGCCTTTTTTGAGGTATCTATATTATAATAATTAGAGTTCATGGTTGCAAATGGAAAATCTGATTTCCGTTTAAGTAGTTGCAAGAATAGCTGTCCTCAGACTTTTGATCGCTAAATCAGGTGTTCGGTATACTCTTATATGCCGACATTGCCTTTGATTTTTCTGCATATTAATATTAGATAATTCTTCTCTATAATATGAGAAAATCATGTGTTTGATGCAGTGAAATATAAGACAAGAATGAATATGGGGTAAAAATCTATTCTTGGGTAGTGATGGAGTGAAACTCATAAAACTCTGAGTTTTGCTTTGTTGTAGGATTGTTTTCAGTACTGGGAGCCTCTTCTCTCATCTTTTTTGAGTGGAAATTCTACTATTTTGCACATTATGATTTTCCCTTTAATTGATCTTTTAAGTGGCCACAGCCATAGATGCCTTTTGTGGAGTGACCAACTGGGTAGGGTGCATTTTCTCCTCTTAAACTGCTGTCAGTAGGAGCTGTGAAATTGAAGGCAGATATGATTTGCACCCATTCTTGTCTATGTAGACTCTAGATATAAGAACTTATGCAAAAATCAAATGTGAGCTATGATCCAAGTGGCATGATGTAGGCTAAATGTTTGATAAGATGTATCTCATAAGTTTCTTTCTATGTTGCCACAGAAATGATTATTAGGAAAGCTCTCTGGTTTCCAAGAAAAGACATGTGAATTTTGTGAGGCTTCTGGGTATCACTAAAGTTTTTTTCTGGAAATAGTTTGTTTTGGAAATCACTGTAGATGTACAAAATGCAGTGCATGCGTATTTCCCTGACATAATCACATGAAGATGTTTAAGATGTGTAGCTTGTAAGAACTCATCATGTTTGTGATAAGATTAAACTGGCGGCTTTTAGAGTGTGAATTAAATGGGGTTTCATTAGACGAGCATCTCTTCTGAATGGCTAGGTGTTTTCCAAGAGAATTAAGTATTTACCAGTCCCCTGCTCAATCTTATACAAACATACAAACAGAGAAAGAGAAAGCAGCAGAGATTTATTCATTTCCTCTTTTTTCTGTCTCAGATGGGTTGCCCCGGGGCTGGGGGGAATTGGTGGATTGTATGATCAAGTGCAACTGGGAGGTGCCTTTTGAATGCAATTCTTCAGTGTTTTTCCAACAGGGGCTAGTCTTCACTGCAAAGTGAAGTGTTTTTTTTTTCTTTTTAAGTAAGCTTTTCAATGGATAGGCCTGAACCTGAAACTGGCAATCAAGGATGCGTAAAATAATGTTAGATTTAGGTTTTGAACTGGAGATTGACCCAACTCAGTTGGTTTTACATCAATGGTTGAGTTATCTGAATGGGTATCGGTGTGTCAAGTCTGACGTCTGGATATAAATGAAAGACTGTGTTATCCACGTCTCATCCTTTTGCAAACTCAGACAGTATACTTCAACTCTCTGGATAAAGACTTTTATCTCATCCAGTATTTGCACTTTATGCTTCCCTTTCGCATACCTGTTATTTTTGTCCAAGTCGTTTAGCTCTTGCAAATACACAGTTATCACAAGTACCACTCTCTCCTAATTGGATATGGGTGTTTTGTGTTATATGATGACATATGTGCTTGATCTTTTGTAAGTTAGATGTCAGGAAAACAAAAATGAACAAGTTGCACTGGCTTTTAATAAAATGTTGTAGATTGATTTTTTTTTTTTTTTATTTATTATTACACATGTTTCATGAAGTCGTTTTTCTTTGGTGATGCAGAAAATGGTTATCCCTCCTGCAGTTCGGCCAGAAAGAGTTACCAATTTTCTCAAGCCTTATGTCCTGAAGATGCACTTCACGAATAAGTTTGTGTCTGCTCAAGTAATCCACACACCAACAGCAACTGTAGCATCCTCTGCCAGCTCACAAGAGCAGGCACTGCGGTTAAGCATGGAAAAAGCCAGAGAAAGTACAAGGGACGTTGCAGCTGCTGGCAAAATAGGCAAGATATTGGGCGAGCGACTGCTTCTCAAGGGTATTCCGGCTGTTTCAATTTTCTTGAAGAGAGAACAGAAGTATCATGGCAAAGTTAAAGCAGTAATTGATTCCGTGAGGGAAGCAGGTGTCAAATTAGTTTAAATTTAAGAATCAGCTCCATTCAAGAGTGGCAAATGCATGCCCCGCATGCATTTTTCTGAATCCCTCTTTCTTTAACTAGAGGGTCTTTGCTATTGTGACGAGGATTAGAAGAATCAGGGTTATATTATTATTTTTTTACGTGGCTAAATCTATTTCTTGATAATCCATAGTCTGTCTGTGTTTGGGAAATGAATGGACCTGCTAAACTTGACATTTGAGATAAGAATTATTGCAAGTACGGATAGGTTCTGTCTGAATTAGCCTACAAGGAGAATGGCGTACTCAAGGATAACGAAGTAGTCGTTTTCGTAGCCGGTGTGGAGCAAAGGGGGCAGTTGAGGCGTAGTTCTTTGAATGCATGAGCTGTGAATACTGTCCAGATGAGCAAGGGAGGTCCCCATATTCTGCTGTGCTCTTTTATCTTTGGCTTAACGTATCAAAGTTCTTATAAAGCAAAGCTCAGCAGCATGGACCAAAGCAACTTGCTGTAGTGCAAGCAGGGACCCGCGGGCTGTCTGGTTCGCATCATGCCATGGTTCTTGAAGTGTCCTAGACGGGAACAAAAGACGTTATTGAGGAGAGCTGGTGGCTGTAGATTAATGGGAACTTTTTTGGTTTTCTTTTTAGTATTATGTTTTTGGGCATTTGGGGTTTGAATTATGGTAAATTTTTTGGCGTTGAAATTCTTAGTCATAGTACTACTACTGTCATCTTAAATTCAGGAATGGTTGGTTCATCGAGCCATTTTTCGCCCAAACTCTATAACTAAGAATAAGTAGTAATAATAATAATAATAAGGGTACTTTTCAAAAGGGGTTAATTTATGAGTAAATCTTATATGCACTGACATTGTATGCACTATCACGATTGGATGCGTATATATATATATATATATATATATATATATATATATATATATATATATATATATATATATATATGCAAATTTAGGATTTCATATTCAAATTTGAATCATGTGTCATGTATTTAATGGTGAAAGCGCGTACGCTGTCAGACAGTGTATAGAAGATTAATTCATGATTTATTTACACCAACGAAAATCAAATTTGTTATTCCGTATCACTGTGACACGGGTCGCGAAGTGTACATTTTGGCCCCCACAGTTTGGGAATACAGATAAAATTTACTTTGATTCAAAAAATTATGAACCATCAATAGCATGATAAGAAAGGGATTCAACATTAAAGGTGTCAACATTTTGAAGCAATAATTGATTTGGAGTGACAAAGAACATAAAGAGGCCTAACCAGAGAGGTTAATCAGCCCCATCACTATCTGCCTTGGATCTTCATATCCTTCTTTGCTAGACAAAAGTCCGGTCCTGGAAAAAAATATTTGGCCATACCTCTGCTTCTTTTCTTTTTGGGTGTATTGCTCCATATTTTGTGGTCACAATAATGAAGAAGATGAGGTATGATTAGGTACAGTTTCCATAAAAGAAATTATCTTCACCAATCATCATTGACGAACTTTAAGAGAGTGACAAAAGGGAAACATTTTTTTTTTTTTTTTTTTTGTATCTGGAATTCCACCTGAGGAAAAAGTTATCAATTTGGTTTTTTTTTCCCCTTAATTTTTTAAATAATAAAACTAGTGTATTGATTATCAACCCTGTTGCTGAACGTTACTTCCATTGATTATTTGGCAAAGCCTGACTTTTGTGATCCATTCGAAACAAGTTGCAGACCACTGCACCTAATATTGATTGTGTGAAAGTGATTAGTGGGCCTATTATGTCTGTTCAATCTTCCAAATCTGCAATAATTTAGCCAAGAATCTTCGATGGCTCGTCATGCATTACACGCGCTGAGGTGGCTATGGAATCGGACTCATAGGGTCAACTCGGTCTGCAACTCGAGAAATAGACTGCTCGACTATAGAATTAATAATAAAGAAAGAATCCAGGATTTCCTAGAAAAATTTCGCCACCGAATGCGTAAGCATCCGTCTAAACAGATTATGTTTCATTTTTCTCCGGATTATGTTTCATCCAGGATTATGTTTCATTTTTCTCCGGATTTTTCCCTCGACCCTTTTGTGTCAATTCCTTCTTTTAGTATAGAGTAGGAGCAGTGGTAGAATATAATCTATCGTATCCGATTAAAACACAAAAAAAAAAGACTATTGAATTAAAATTTTTGACCCAAAAGAAAAAAGATAAGATAAGACTATAGGATTCAAGCCGCCACCTCTAACTCAGTGGCAACCGCAGAGCTCTAACTCGGTGACCACCACTTCTTTTGATGGGATGGGAGGTCAGGGGTTCAATCCTTACCTCCTTTTCCGCATAGGTTAAAATAGATTAGGTTATAAGATTTCTACCGTTATGAAAAAAAAAAATATAGAATTAAAGCCTAATTAGGACCAAGAAAACAGACTGTTAACTCTACATTTTTTTTTATAAGGTGCCTGGTTACACTTAATCCGCGACAAGATGATATGGCAATTAGCACAACTAGGTCATGGATGGCCTCGCACTGCCTCCAGATTGAGAGTCGTGGAAATCCTTCACAAGTTACTGCTAATATTCATATTCTATCTTTGATAGTGACCATATATCATTAAAAGTTGTATAAAGGATAATTCTAGAAATCTCTCCTAAGGTTTTTAGTAATTTTACTTGGCTCCTTTGAGGTTTTAAAAATTATGCATGCCTCTCTTATCTATTTAAAATGACAGTAGTAGCTTTTACATTCTAATAAAACTCCCTTGTTTGTCATGCTTATATAAGAGATGGGGTTTTATTAATTTTTTTTCTTTTGTCTTCTTATTCATTTCTCTTCATCAGAAAATCTAATGAACTATTAATATTGTCTGTAATCTCTATCATGATCAAATGTCAAACTAGTAAATTTTTTTTATAACTTTAATAATGTTTGGATAGCAAATTTATTTCAAATAATATTTCGCTTATATCATAAACACATTTTCCAACCCACATTTTTATATTTCTAACTACCTTTTTATTATATATATACCTCGTATCATAAAAAGTGCTGCAGTAATTATTTCAAATAATAATTTGTCCAAACATAATATCATCATTTAATTATGGTAATTCCACCACTGAATTAGTCCACAAACTTTGAGAAAAAAAAAATCAAAATAACGCTTTCTTTTCTATCTTAAAAAGAATCTATGTCCCCAATAAAGCACTATGAAAAGTAACCTATTATAGTGATATATTTATTGTTGATTATCAAATAAAAAATATTGACGTAAAAAAAACTAACACTTATTCCATTTATAATTGTGTCAAATTACTTTACAATTGTTTAAAAGAATAAATTACACTTTATAAGATAAGGGCATTTTAGAGTATTCATTAAAATTTTGACCCTATTTTAAGGTTAGATTATCAAAAGTATTAAATCAAGGAAGGCACGTAAAATAATTTTTAAAACCTTGAAGAGTTAAGTAAATAAGTTAGAAACTTTAGGGGAGGTTTCTAAAATTATCCCTTAGTATAAATTTCAAGATTTCTTTTACACTTTTCATCCATGAAAGTAGCGTTTGTTCAGTTCGAGGACAAATAGGCTTTGTAGTTTAAAGTGAAATTATCTGTTTGGATTGTGAATTATTAGAGATATTTTTACTGTAGTATTTTTTGTGATGTGATGTATGTGAGATAAAAAGATAATTGGGAAGGTAAAAAGGTGTATTGAAAATTGTAATGATGATGTAAGCAAATAAATTTTGAGAAATAAAGTCCAATCCAAACAATATAATCACACGTTGAGAAACAAACAAAAAAATGAGATAAGAACATATTAACAATTCGATTTTATTTAATTCCGTGGACAAAACGAACTAGTAGCGTTGCTTGTAGCCTTCGGCCCTCTGTTGACAATTTGGTCCGGATCCGGACTGCCGCCGCCATTATTTCCCTTTCGATTTGATCTTGTTCGTTAATCTTTCCTACACTGATAATAAATATATTTAAATAATATTAATAATAAATATATTTAAATAATTAAATAATGATCAAAATTTATTTACTTACGTCACTTTTAAAGGCTCAGAAATCAACTTAACAAAGTAACAGTTCAAAATGTATTATTTTAGATAACATTACGTAAATTTTACACAATTAACATGTAGTACTTCAATATGGAAAATAAAATTCTGTTACAAATTAATAAAATTTTTTCTAACAAAGGGAGGGATGGCATTTAAAAAGCCGGTAGGAGGCAGAAGGATTAGAATACATATTTTTAGTTCTTATGTTTTAACCTTAACTACTAAATCGATAAATTATGGATCTGCGTGGATTTATTTTTTTTTTTCAAAAACTATTTTTGTATTTGGAATCTATAGTAACAATTCTAAAAATAAATTCCAAAAATAACTCAAAAAAACACACATAATCTCAAATACAACTTATAAAAATAATAAAAACATAAAATAATAATAATAAAAACGAATCCTACCACATTTTTTTCTTTTTCTACTCACCACTACCACTTACTATACACATCACCACCCACCACCGTCGCCACCCCAAATCTCTTTCCTTATCCTCTACCCTCATCCTCCTCTCTTCTCCACCCTTTCCTCCACTTTTTCTGTGGCTTTTGGTTGCGACTAGATCCTTTCGATCGTAGTAGCCAGAAACCATGAAACGGTCGCGGCTTCTACTTGCTATCGAAGAGAGGAAGGAAAGGAGAACGGGAGCGGTGGTAGTGGTGGTGGTGATGTTTAATTTTTAAAAAATACTTTTAAAGAATTTTAAATTCTAAAAGTACTTCAAAATACATCACAAAAATACTTCAAAAATTCCATAAAAAACACCTAATTATTTACAATAAAAATTACATATATATAGTTACAGTAAAATTTTCTAAAAACATCTGATCCATATAATTTACTAGAAAAGTTGTTCTTTGTTGTTTATATACACAATTCAGAACTGGTTAAAATAGCTGTAGTGCCGTACCCCATTCATGATGAAGGACGGTCAACAATTGGCATTGGCCAACCTTTCTGTCCCAAATTCTTATCTCAAATTCATAAAGGACTGTCAATAGTTCAATTACCTGTAAAGGACTTCATTGACTGACAAGCTCCAACTCAAAGCAAACTAGAAAAGAATCTATTCATACGTCATATATGTTTGCATTCCGTTAGGGTTAGGGCCACAAACGAGCCGAGTCGAGTCGAGTTTTGAGTTAATCGAACCGAGTCTCGACTAAATTTTACCAAATTCGAACTCGACGAGCCGGCAAATTTCGAGCTCGAGCTCGAAAAAAAATAAAAAATAAATATTTTTATTTAAAAAAATAAATAAAATAATATTTTTTTCTTAATAAATAATAAAATATTAAGGACATATACGTAATTTTACTATGAAAATAAAAAATAAAATATATATATATATAATATACGTAATTTTATTATTAAATAAAAATAAAAATAAAAAAATATATATATATACCCAAACTCGCGAGCCGGTTCGCGAGCTAACGAGCTTAATATTCTGAGTTCGAGCTCGAGCTCGAGTTTGACTCGAGCCGGCTCGAGCTCGACTCGAGTTCGATTAACATCGAGCTCGACTCGAGCTTGACTCGGATCGCTCGCGAGCGGTTCGATTCGTTTGCAGCCCTAGTTAGGGTGATGCTTTGTTGGGGCATTGTTTTTTTTTTTTGTAGAGTTTCTTGCGTTTCTGTCGCGCTATCAATCGAACGTGGAACACAACTGTTAATCGATATTGTTAATTGTGGAACAAACCAAAAGACAATTAATTTGTTTAGGAAACAGATAATGATTGATCCTTGAAATATTTAGCTGAGGTTGTTGAAATGCTTGTTTGGATTGCAGTTTTTTATCGGAAAAATTACGTTATTTTTCGTGATCATATTTCTCTATTATCTTTTTTCCTTACATAAATCAAATCGTTACAATAATTTTTTATAAAAAATTATGAAAAATGCAATACAAACAAAAAGCAACCCAAGTTGAGGACCAGGGAAGAGAAATTAAATTGAATGTTTGAACTTATACTGGTATGGAAGTTTGGAAGATAAATAAGAGATTTTAAATTTGAAACTTCTCATTTATACTAAAAAAAAGTTAAAAATACCAAAAAAAAGAAAGAGTGTTGGAACTTGTACATGTTAGTACTTAATAAATGATATGGATATCAAAATCTCACAAGGTTTTTTTTTTTTTTAATATTAAAAGCCAAGTATAGTGCTTTGCAAAATTAAATAGTAGCATGGATTCAACGGTAATTTAGAATTTTAGCGCTTCATTTCTCCCTTCAGCGTCATGCTTCTAGAACATTTCCAAGAAAAGACTAGAAAACGTATTAATGATTTCTCATTGATGCTACCGCAGCACGAGAGCAAATCCTCTGTCTAATATTTTGTGTTTAATTTTCTGTTCAATGTGAAACTACGTAGTTTTACTTATTATATCTGTTGAGAAAAACATGCCTTGTGCTCTTCGTAACATGCATTGAACCACAAATTCGAATCATACTTGAGGATTTAAAATAATTGATTCTTTTTTATTTTTCTTTCAATTTATCTAATTTTTAATATTCATTTTTAAGATTTAAAATAATTATTGATTCAAAACTATTTATGGAAACAAAGATATGATTTTTATAAAATAATAAGCAAAAACTTTTTTTAATTTTTTTGGATTACTTCAAGGTTAATAAATAAAAATATGTTCTTTTTTTAATGCAATACAGCCTCAAAAAGGGCATTTTTGATATTAAGGGAATTTTTGTTAAATGTTTGATCATTCAAAGGGTGAGACCGTTATTTGAATAAATTACAGGGATTGATTGGTAATATGGTCAAATCTCAGGGGAGGTAAATGTAATTAACCCAATAATCTACTGTCCAAACACAATATTGTTTGGATCATGTGTTATTTCACTTTATTTACACCTTATTTACACACATTAATTTATTTATATTATCAATATATTTTTTAATCATATTTTTATCTCACATACATCGCATAAAAAAAGTGTTATATTACTTTTTCATAAAATTATATCAAACACACTTCGTACCATAAAAATTATCTCAAACACACTTCGATCCATTTCGCCATTTCCAATGAATCCGAGGGGCCCCCACTAGGGATAAAGCAAAGGGCACTCTCGACCTTTCACATCAGAACGAAAACGACGCATCACGTGACATGCCCTTTCTCCCATTAATCGCCCTCCACGTGGCGATCCACAAAAAATCTAGACCCTCAACGATCTTATCTCCTCTATCGTGCTTATCGATCCACCCTCCACGTCACGTCAGATCCACCCAGCCCAGATCAACGGCCACGATTGAATCTGAACTCTCCCCATAGGACTCTGCTCCAACTTTAACGCGTTTTCGGCTAATAAATAGCCGTTGAGCTGAGCTGAGCTGAGGACCATTTCCTCTTCTAAGCTCTCTTCGTGAAATAATTTCCGAGTGGGTGAAGGGTTGAGGGAATAGTTCCGTTCCGTTCCGTTCCGTTAGCGTGCGGGGAGTCTGCTAAAGTGCGCCATGAGTTTACTGGAGAAGCTCTGGGATGATACAGTTGCCGGCCCCCGGCCCGATAGCGGGCTCGGGAAACTCAGAAAACATCCTACCTTTAACCTCCGACCGAACGCCGGGAAGGGTACGCCTTCCTTGCTATCTTACGACGTTTGTTAAATTATAACAGAACTGAAATCCACAATATCTGGAAATTTTGATTCATATCTGTAAAGATGCTGGTAAAGCTTTACTATGTATCTGGAAATTTTGATTCATATCTGTAAAGATGCTGGTACAAATTTTGTGTATAAGAGATTGAAGTATGTAATATATATGGGCGCCTGGAAAATGGGTTTACTGAAGAAGGGCTGGTTAGTTAAGCACAAGATTCTGACAATATGATGATAAGATTTTAGCAGAGTCCTAGGTTGATAGGAGAAAAGTACCTTGATAAGTTGACTTTTGGACAAGATCATTTTGGGGACTATCCTTTTTTTTTTTGGGTTGGGATGTACCGTAATAGATCAAGTTGGGATGTACGTAATAGATCAAGTTGAATACGGATGCCTTGAGAATATTAATGCATGAAGCTGCAGTTTTATTGTTTAGTTTCTTTGGGTTTTGTTCTGTAACATCAGATTGGATTGTTTGTACGGTTGAGTGTTGATGTCAATTTCTCCTCCTCCTTTTTGTTTTTGGTTTACAGAATCCGTAGTTGGAAGCCCGAGATCATACAGTAACGGAGCAGGAGGAGCGGCGGCGGAGGATGCAGTGAGGGTGACAAGAAGTATCATGATAGTAAGGCCGCCTCCAGTTGACTTTAAAGACTCGCCGCCGGCATCGCCAGCCGGGTCAACACCTGGCTCTACAACACCTGGCTCTACACCTCCGGTATCTCCCTTCGCCGGTAAGGTTGCAATAGTCATCACTCTCTTATGACTAGTCATCAGTAGAGTACTGTTTTTCTGCTTTTGGTCGTGACCAAATGTCCATTTTGTCCTTGATAACCGGCCTCCAAGAAGTAGGGAGGTAGCTTTTTTTACTGGGTCAAAACCCTACTCCAAATAGTAGTATATCAAAGTTTGACAGAAAAAATAGATCAAAGGCTTTGTATTATACCCGTGCGGTACACTTTTTTAGTACTGCATGTAAGTTAGTGAATAGATGATACACTTTCTTATCGATGTGCATATTTTTTAAAAATACTTAAAAAAATACTGAAAATATAGACCGAAAATATCTATAATTTTCGATTAAAAAACCTATTTGGAATCATAATTGGCTTGAAATTATGGGGAGAAGTCTGTAGAGGGGCCTTAGTCTAGATCTAGAACAATCTGTTAAGAGGACATATTGGTAAATCCACAAACGGGGGTTCATTTGTATGGTATAGTAGAAAACTAGTGATAAGTTTTTGTTAATTGAAGGGGTTATTGTCAATTATGGCGACAAATTTTGCCATATTATGTGTAGTTCTATGGATGAGTGATATATCACGTCATGTGTATTTACATTAAATAAAAATGGTAACAAAAATTTGTCATTAAGGGGTTGTGGTGGATGGATCTTTTGAGCGGATAATGCAAGGCGGCCAGAAAAGTTAGGTGGAAATGTGGAAAATGGTGGATCAGAGGGTGCAATTATTTACTGGTTGTCTTCTTATACACTAATAATCCGTTTTAAGGTGGCATCCACGGAGATGTTTAGTAAATTATTTGGTATTACAACCAAATCTTTCCTTTTCGACGTCACAAGTCACACCCACCTTGCAACTTGCACGGGGATTAATTGGCTGAAATTGACTTCGGCTCCTCCTATGGGACATGTTTGTGGTTGTATCACAAGTTGTATGGTGGACGTGCGTCCTTACTCTTTTTGCTGGATGGAAGATCCAGGGCTTGTACCTTAAGAAGGGTAAGAGGGCTAATGAATACAAGGTGCAGGAGTTTCAGTTGAATTCCGTTTCTGATGACTAACCAAACAAACATAGCCGAAGGGACATGATATCTAGGTGGTAGTAAGACTTAATTCTCTGTAAGGAGCTCGACAGTGGTAAAGAGCAGGTGCTCTAATGAAGTCTGTGCTGTGTTTCAGTCTAAATATGTACCTCCTGCTCGAGTAAGATTGAATGGGCTGCGATATGCTGTTGTGCAAGACTTTGTAATACAAAATCTTGAATGTGCTGCGATATGCTGTTGCCCATCATGATGGTTGTGTGCAGCAATTGAAATGGAAGCTTGATTAATTTGGCATATGGAACCGACGAAAAGTTAGGTCTTAGGTCATAGGAAGTGGAAGTGTTGTTATGCATGTGATCATGTGCATGACATGGTCCATGCTCTCAGCCTGTGGTGGGAAAGAATCCGAGTAGGGTGGAATAAAGGGAAATATGGTTGGATGTGGTAGGTGATGGGACTGCTTATTAATGAACAAATTGAATTGTAAATGGCATGGATGGTCTCAAAGCAATGTGATGATGTAGTGTTTCTTTTTCTTCCTTGATCAATAGCAATTGTATCATGACATGGGGCTTCTTTTTGCAGCTTGCTTGGTGCAATGTCTCTGTCCCCCTCTTTATACTCCTTGATGCTGTACTGTACTCCAGCCTATTGACTGCTACAGTTTTATTTCTTGTGCAAGCTTTCCTGCATTTATTGCATTACTTGGATGAAGAATGTTGACAGCAAAAAGATTTTCTCGATGCATAATGTGTAGGTGCTGGAGGAAGAGAGGCGTTTCGGTTTCGCAGGAAGTCTGCATCATTCGCATATGAGAAATCCAGCAGTGTTGGACCCAGGAGCCCTCCTCCTCCTTACGACCTGTGAGATATGATGAGGCTTGGCATTTTCCATGTTGAGCGGCGGCTAAAGTAGTCGGATTTTCGTCTTCTTCTCAGCTTTGTCATGGGGAAATCTTTTAGATGAATAGCACTGAGTGTGAAAAAGTTTGGTGGCGTGCAATCAAAAAATTAATCTTGTAAATATGGGTTATGGTAGTGTCTGCTGTCTCGGTCGCGGTGTATGGAGGGCTGGTCATGCAGACTTTTGTAAAAGCTCAGTTTGAAGTTTGTAATGTGTCCTGGTCTCTGTATGCAGAGCTCAGAGTGGTTTGGTTTCTCCCAAAACTGCTAAGTTTCTTCTGTCATTTTCCGGTGCGCTTGAATGCCTATTTGTGTTGTGCAACTTTGGTTGATATTGCAGTAAAGCTCTCCTCTCCCTGTTCCTGTTTTTCAATGGCAATATTTTTCCTTTTTACCTACACTTCTCGTCTGTATTATGTGATGAGTGAGCCCCTCGAAAAGAATGGAAATTGGACTTCACCAATTGGTTTTCCCTCACTCCCCCCCATCACCCTTAAAAGGGTAGAAATGGGCATGGTGGTGTTTAATATGTCGCCAAAATAATTATAGCTTTGTTTGAATTGCAGCTTTTCGTCGAAAAATTACGTTGTTTTCCGTGATTATATTTTTTTATTATTTTTTTTTCTCACATACATCAAATCGATACAATAAATTTTTTATACAAAATTATAAAAAATGTAATTCAAACATACCTTTATTTTATGAGCCATTGATTTAATTAATTAATTGTGGGTTGCATAATAATTATATTATATAATATAATAATATATTTTAAATTATAAAAATAATAAAAATTTTAAATTGGTGGTTTAATCGGTAATTTATCGGTTGAATCCGTTGACTAGTCAATAGATTTGTTGTTTAATTGGTTTAATTAGAAACTTATTTGGATCGTATAGTCAGTTCACTGTTAATTGGTTCGATAATCAAGCCGGACCAAAATTTATAACTACGATAAGAATGACATGTTTCATTAGCTAATTGACATAATATGCTCTTGTCTATTAAAAGCACAAGTCATTATTATTGAATTTTGGTCTAATGATCAGGAGTTTCTTAAAACTCTCCTGTGCACTAAGGTAGGGTTCAAAATTTGCGTAGTGCATTAAGGCAGCCATGCACTTGTGTGGTGTAGGGGTTCACGTCTTGTGTTTGGATTGCATTTTTCATGATTTTTTATGGAAAAATTACTGTAATAATTTGATATATGTGAGAAAAAAAAGTGATAGGGAAATATGATCACGAAAATGACGTAATTTTTCGACGAAAAACCGCAATCCAGTGTAGAATGTTGCCTGAGGAGAGAAAAAAAAAAAGTTGGACACAAAAGACTATAATAACATAATAGAAAAGGAAAATAATAGTATATAACTCCTCAAAATTTTATGAAAATTTGACCTGGAAAAAAGTCATGATTCTGGGATAAGCAGATGGACCAATTTGACTTCAGAACTTTGGGCTTGCTTCACTGTCTCTACTCGGTCCATGTTAACAACCAATTGTTTAAAATTTTGATTAATTATTTTCGCTAAGCACACAAATTTGGTGGCAAGAAAAAGATTAATTTTATTGATAAATTCTAAAATAAAATCATGAGATAAGAATATAAACATCCAAAAAAAGGTTTAGATTATTGCTTGGAATAAATTAAAGCTATCTTATATATATATATATATATATATCTCAGTAACACTGTATCTTATATATATCAGTAACACTGTATCATATAACTTTTGAGTTAGAGAATAGAGAGTTTAGGCAAGAAGAAGACGGCTTCGTTTGGGAGTGGAGGATTCGGACAGAAAAGAAAGGGAAAGAAGAGAAAGTTAGCTTTTCTTTCATTTGTTAGTTTTTAGTAGGAAAGAAAAGAAGGGAAATGGAATGATTTAAGAGGATGAATAGTATGCAAAATTTTTCCTTCCAAATTGGAGAGAAATGGAGAGAAAATTGGAGGAAGCTTATGAAAGTTTTTTAAAATACCCATTTTATCCTTAAAAATGTCTTGAACAAATATTTAATGACTTTCATATCCAAAATTATTCCACTAATTCTCAAAACTCCCAAACAACGTAACAATCCCTTCTCTTCTCTTCTCTTCTCTCATAACTTAAGTTTTCCCTTCTTTTCTTTTCTATCCTAAACTCCCAAACTTAGCCTAAAACTGATTAGGCAAATTTCCTCTTTCATAGAGGAGAAAAAAAAGTTGAAATTTGAAAACGGAATAAAAGAAGCTTTCTGATATTTTTATTACTGCGAAACCTTTGGGAAGAAAAGTTGGAACTCCTTGACCTATAGCACCAAAAGATGAGATGGGAAAGTCACCGCTGCATTTTGCTGCTGATACTCACCACCTCAACCATCAACCTTCCTTTCTCTCGCGTCTTTGCTGCTTCTGCTACTACTAATACTGGTATGTGTATTATTCCTAATCTCTGCCTCTGTTTCTCAAATCCAAAGTTATTCCTGGTATGTGTATTATCAGTCAGACATATGCACGAACATATACAAGGCATGCCACGCGATCACAGATGAATTCACGGTTATTTTGCATTCCATAATTTTTTTCTGACCCTTTACATTGTTTATTCTCGAACCCAAATTTTGTTTTCATCGTTTTTTGAGTTTTTATTGTTGAGGGTGTTTGTATGTTTTGCTTATCTTTTGCTATTCAAGAATTTTGCTTCAGATGGTCATTACTGCCATACAGTAGTATATTTTGTGGCTTTAAACCTATCAAAGACAATTCATAATGGTTTTCTACAATTGTTTTGTTTTTACTTCCGTTTGGGTGGGGTGAAAGGGGGAGGCGAGGTTGGATTATTTGTTGAAGTGTAGCCTTTTACTAATGTAATGGTAGTGGTAGTGAAAAATATTTATGAGGGTGGTGCGAAATCATTAATACCTAATTGTAATGCTAAAACCTAAGCTAGAAACAACGTCTAGAGATTTGGCTTGAAATGGGCCCTTAAGTACTTCAAAGCAACCGAATTACCCTTGGAGTTATTTAATTTAACAGGATTCATCTGTTTAGATTTGAATTCCTGTCTCTTCTTGGAAGGTCCACATATTTTAAAGATTGAATTTTTACACCAGATTGAGGCAATGGTCAACCATAGGCTACCTTTCCCGCAGCTTTTACAATTTTATTTCTCATTCAGCAGTTTAGTGAATCTTGTGACGTGCTTGTTGTTTATTTGGGTAGTTAAGAAGGAAGACATGGCTTCGCATATTAGTTTAATAGGAACCTTAAGAGGGTTTAGACTGTTGATTGTGCTTTAGAATGTACACCTTTCACCTGATTATCTTCTTGTAGTTGTTTTTCTGGTCATATATGGAAAGTGGACCAGCGGCATCCCTCACTGTTGGTTATTAAGGAGAGAAAGCATCTGATATGCGGAAACTAATTGAGTTTAATAATTGTCGAAACATTGTGGATCAGGAAACCATAAGAAGCTAGTAAAATTGCTCCTTTCCTTAATGGGTATGGTTTCTAGCGCCTGATTTAGGTTAATTTTTCAATGAGCTCAAAATGATGAATCTAAATGTTACTTAAAATCGTTGAGGGAGAATGTAAGTAGTGATGGTCATAACTAGGTGATGGTAGGTTTCTAAATGTAATTATGGTATCCAATGCATTAGACAAACTGGAAAGACCTTTGGGAGTTTGTTTTGATTCTTATGTGCTTATCAAAGTTGAGGAAACTTTTGGAACAAGGCAAGTCAACCAACTTCCAGTTTAGCAGCAAGTAGTAGGCTTCCGATGACCAACATATTAACAGAATGCTGGTACAACAGAATGATGACATGGATGGCCTGTAAAATACTTAAAGATGTCTAAGAATGTAGCAACCCATAATACGATAAAGCTTCCACTTCCAGGAGAATAATTAGGAGATACTCAAGATTGGTGGAGTCTTCAAAAAGATGAGCAGATTTAGAAATCCCTGGGAATTAGAGGTTCTGGGTTCAAATTCCTCCTTTGCCCTCCCCGCTTCTTTAAGTCCCGCCTCATTCATCACTGCTAAAATAAAAAAGGCCAAGGTGACCTTGGTTTAGTGGCTAAGGTTGGCAAGGAATTACCCCCCCTCCCCGGGGGGGCTTGCTTTTCAAATCCCACGTCTCTCCTGCTTAATTTGGAAAAAAAAAAAAAAGACGAATTGGATGTGCATAAAATGTTGGTGCTAAGAATTGAAGGAAAGCAAAGGATAGAATAACTCGTAATGGGTAAATGGAACAGTATACAGGTCACTCAAAGTAAAGTATGTGCTAATAGTGCGGAGCCCAAAAGATAGGTTACTTCTGTCCCAGTTGTGCTAAAAACTTGGAAGGTAAGTGGGTCTTCAACACTTAAAATGCCAAAACTGATTATAATATTTCAAAACCAGTGCTTGAGTCTCCATTGCTATCTTTATAATTCTGTAGCTTGGAAAATAGAGTCTTCTACAAGGCTGAAGTGATTGAGGAATAATCCACGATAATAAGAGAACTTGAAAAATGGCAATCTTATGTTCTGAAGAAGGGAAGATACCATTTGAAATTGAAAAATTCCTACGTTGCTCACATTTTTCTTCTGGAGCAAGGTTTACAATCTAACTTGTGTAGATTAATAAATAAAACACATAGCATGCTTTGAGCAGCTTGTATACCCTGTATGGATTCCTTAACAACAAATATATTCTTAAAGCATCAAAAGATCTGCTAATTTGTAAATAAACTCTGTTAATATATATGGTGGTTACTGTGCTTTTGAAGTTCTTGACATCCTCCTAATGTGTCTTTACGCCTAAACTAAGGAATTGAATTTTACTTCATGCAGAAAAAACTTCTGGTGTTTGTGTATCTCCTGGTGGGCGCTTCCCACCATTTCTAGATGAGGGTAAGCCTCCCAGAAAAGTAAGCAAGGGACATCGGGATCTGACTCTTTGCAGGGTTTTTCGCCATAATACATGCTGTGATGTAACCCAAACGCATCCAGCTTTTCTGTCTATCAGGAAGTTGGCTTCAGCTGGAGAAGCAAGCCAAGAATGCTTACACTTGTGGGAATTGTTGGAATGTTCCATCTGTGATCCTCGTGTTGGTGTACAGCCTGGACCTCCTGTAATATGTGTATCGTTTTGTGATAGAGTGTATCAAGCATGCTCGGATGCATACTTATCTGTGGATGCTAAAACACAGGTTTGTTGTGCTTTAATTAAGGCCTAGATATGTGGTTTTCCAGTTGGCCTTGTAACAAAGTAGCAAATATGAAACTTTGCTGAAGCTTCCTATCTTTAGTTTGCGAGGGAGCTTGATCCATGGAACTGTTCTATGTTTTTCTTTGGTGTTGCTTCTTTCTTCTTTTCCCAAATCTGATTCAGTAAAGTTAGCAAAAACCGTTCAAGGGAGCATGTGAATTATCTTCAAAGTGCTCCTTATCTAGAATATTGTTATGCCAATGCCCCTAATTTTCTGTGTATAAAAAATATTACCTTAAGTTACCTCATGCATTATGAAAAATTTACTCTCTTATTTGACCATTACATGCCAGGTTCTAGCACCATGTGGATTAAAAGACTTTGTGTGTGGTAGAGCCTCAGAATGGATCTCTAATGGCACAGATCTCTGCCGTGCTGCAGGTTTTTCTGTTAAGCCATCTGATGATCCTCAAGAATTATCATGCTATGGTGGGAAAGCTAGTCTGGATTACGTTGCTGATCTCTGGAAAGCTTCAGAGTCTAGGGTTCCACAAGAAACAGAAGGTTTGTGGTCTTTAGAAGATTTCAGGCAATGGGTGGAGGCAATGCCATTCAGTGAAAAAGTTTCTTGGGCAGTAGGAGGAATGGTTCTTACAGCGGGACTGATATTTGCAAGGTTAGACAACTTTGTTAATGGTATCAAAAGCATCCGCCATGTTTTCTACTCGAGTCACAATACTTATGTCTATGGTTTGATGCTTTTACTATCTGAAGTTTAGTTCATCTACTGAATTTTTTGTATCATATTCATGCTAGTTGAACTTCATAAATTTGTGGCAACTATGCATAATGAGCATTCTGTGCTGTCTTGGTCTATAAGAGATCAAGCAGGAGACACATACTTCGGTTTAGGTTGTTTGAAATGGAAGTGTTGAACAGGCTTAGTTTGATGACCAAAAGTTTCTGAAATGGACTTTAGGGAGACTGGTGTTATACACTGTGACAAATTGAGTTTAGAAACAGGAATTGGAGAAAGGCTGTCCATGTGGTCAATATGTGAAAGGTCAGCTTCTGGACTGGTAAAAACATAATAAGAGGTGCTCCAGTATCCCTTGACTTAATCAGAAACACATTTGGGCTTAGGATGCAGACCAAATCAAACAACCTTGAGTAAATGGCTTTAGTCAAATCAAGGTTATATATCTTTAAGCAAGGTAAAAGTTCTTTTATTGGCATGAGGCCTGGCTCTGATGAGTTGAGGGTGGTCACAAAATCTCTCAGTTTGTGACTCAAGAAAGGGTTGTGAAGAATTTAAGCAACAGCTTCACACGCTTTAAGCAAAAGCTTCACACACTTTTCTGGTCATCTGTTTGCAAAGTAAAGTTGCCCTGGGAGGAACATATGAAAGGTAGGTTTTAATCAGCTAAGGGGAAATCAGCTCTGCTGAGAGGGGACAGAGACTGATGAAATAGTTTCAGATGCCGTGGAGATAAAACTTTGAATAAACAGGATCATAGAATAGTGTCTTATTATATAGCTTTAAAAGTGATACCACCAAGGTTGTAATTTTTAGGAATGCAAGGGTTTGTTTCTCTGAAGAGGAAGGGAGCTTTTGAGAAAGAGGTTTGAATCTGGTGGAGATGGAGGACTATAATGATGGGTTGTGCTCTGGGGTAGGGAGTGATGATATATAGTTCAGTTGCAGAAATTGAGCTTATACCTTTGAATGATTACCTGTATGATCTACCTCGGACTTATGTGGCATCCAACTAACTGGTTGCTCTAGCAAAGTTTAAAGTGCAATTAGGCTTTTTCATTGCGAACTATGAAGTGATAATAGAAGATTAAAGGAATCCAGACAAGATAAAAGCCAAGGAAAGGTCCATTGTGACAAAGGGAAGAAAGTGGGGATAGTATGCTGATGGAAGTTGCAATTGTGGGTTGTTCCTTGTGTTTATCTTTGTTTTCTGTCCTTTCCATATTGAAATGTTTAGGTAGTCTTTTGGTGCTAATTATAGTTCGTTTGATGGATGGTAGTTTTTTTTTTTCATTTGTCTATTTGAAGTTTCACGTTGGTGCAGCATATTTTTTAGCTCTCAGTCTTTGGGTTATGTAAAATTTTGGGGAGAGAGAGAGAGCTGTTTGTGTGCATCTCTTCTTGTCCGCGTCAGTGGATTTGATTTGAGATGGGAGTTTCTTCTTTGACAATGTCCAGTAATCACATTTTCCTCAACTTATGGAGCTTGCAGCATTTATATCAGACATTAGCTGATCAATAATGTTAAATTTTACATTTTATTTTCCATATATTGTCGAAGATTTTTGCTCCCAACCTTTTGGCTCCTCTGGTTGTACAAATGACTTTGTATTTGGAACATGCAGTCAAAGGAAAAGCCGTAGCCAACGTCAAAAGCACGCTGCTCTTCAACGGACTGCAAGGAAACTGGGAACAAAGATGAATTCAACGTCTCCTCCTGGTCGGGGAAATAAAAAGACAACTTAGTGATGAATGTCCTTTTTTTTTTTTTTAAATGTAATTAACCATGTTAGTTTATTGGCAGCTGTTCTTATATTCCTGTAATGCCTATAGTTTGTCTCCAACGCTGCTTCTAAATGTACAAGGATTTGCTTGTCTGAAGGTTTCTGGTTGTAACTTTACAAGCGATTTTGGCAGGTTGATATATCAACAGCTATAAGAACAAAGGTCATGGCCTAAGAGTTAGGCTTTTCTTTGTTGTCTGGGTGGGGGTTGAAACAGGGTCTACCTTTGTTGTCAATTTGTACTGGGATGTCTAAACTCTGAATCCTCACTGGCGAATTGAAGCCACTCAATTTATGATTGACCTGTTAAAGGCATAAATCTGACTGCCACCGTTTTGGTCCTCTGCTTGTTCTTCTCATCCTTCCTTTGTATTTTAATGGAGAGAGTGGGACTCTTTTCCAATGATACAGCAGAGAGATTCATAACAAAACTTGAATGTGTGGAAGAGCCTTGAAGCAATGCCCAAAAAAGTACCAAATGGACGGTTCATTAAACATGGCACAACTTTGTGGTACAATACGAAGGATTACAACAAAGATTGCAATGACGCTCACTTACCAGTCTTCCCTGGACGCTCACTTACCAGTCTTCCCTGGAGGCTTTCATCTGCAAAGCTGCTGCCTCGTAAGTGACTTATTTAGCCTGTTTATAATGTTGGTGATCCTTTTGGAGTGTAAAATCTACTAAATTTTTTGAGCATTTTCAACTGCCTTGAATCTCTCACAGATTCATGCCTTCAAACCCACGAGGTACAGAAGAGAAAATGGAAAGCAAAATTCTGCATGAGTTTCTTTAACGGGTCTCATAAAAAATGCAAAAAAAGGTGGCCGCCGTAGAATTTTGGGTACCCTTTCTCTTGTGGCAGGGCAGTAGAAGTGGAGCAAAAACTATAACCATCAAATGCACCAGTAAATGGAGAAAAATTAGAACCGAGGTTAAGACTGATGCAAGGAGCAATTCCAGATTCAAATGCCAACTACAAATACTAAAACAACTCTGATCTCTAAAAGTAATCAAGTGAAACAGTCCTGTTTCTCCACATCACACTTAATACCAATTTACAAAAATCTTCATCACTTGTCCACGATCATAAATTATCGGCAATGGTAAAAAATTTAAATTTCCATGGCCGGAGTAACAGCTTTCTTCCCGAATCTTGTTTATGAACAGAAGATAACGAATTTTACATAATTCCTTGCTGCAGAAAATCCTTGCTTCCATTTCTGTTAATACTTTAGGCGGCTCCAATCTTCGGGGGCTGTTCGAACAAAAACAAGAAAAAGCAAAATAGAAAGAGCTTTAAAACTATTAAGTTAAATATCATGCGGTTCAGGTCTAAAGGGGAAGGAAAGAAGAATGCAGAACGAATATTCTTAGGAAACTTTGCTCATTCAAGCCATCACGGGTTCATCTTAAGTTGGATCTTGTTTACCTTTTTAAGAGCTACCTTCGAACTGCTTGATGCTGGTTTTAGTATCTCAAAAGAACAGATTAGTGATTCATCAACACTCAGCAAAGCACCGGCATTGTCGAATTCTCCACCATAGTTTGGTGCTGAAAATATTGTCACCAATCTTCGTTTAGCGAAAAACTCGTATCCATCCTCCACTACCTAGCGCAAAAAGCAAATGTAGTCAGGTCACTAACATGACTTGGAAGGCTTATTTTGTTGGCTGCTCTACAAAATGGCAGCAGGCAGATGCTCTTTACAAATGTGAAGGTATAGAATTATGAAAGCATGGCAAATTCCCTAGATATTAATATCAGAGATGCGACTATCATGCAACCTGAAATGGTTATGTCCACAAGGAGCTTACTGAAAAAGAAAGCAGTATACCTGGTGACCTCGACATATGAGGTCCAAGTCATTTTTGTCCAAGAACTCGGCAACTGTATCAGCTCCAAAAGTACACGAAACGCCTCGATCACTATCAGACCAACCCTTAATTCTAGGATCAGGATCAGACCACAGCAGATCACAGAGGAGGCCATTATCTGGAATCTCAGTGGGTCGTTGAATCTCATTTATTTGGTCTAAATTTTGTAGTTCAGGGGAAAGTCCGCCGTGCATGCAAAAGATTTTTTCATCTATGAGAGCAGCAACAGGCAGACAATTAAAGCAGTCGGTAAATATCTTCCATAGCCGAACATTGAACCTCCTTTTACATTCATCATAAAATCCATAAATCCGGTTGATTTTTGCATCTTCATGGTTTCCCCTTAGAAGGTATATTTTGTCAGGGTACCTAATCTTGTAAGCTAATAATAAGCATATTGTCTCCAAACTCTGCTTGCCTCGATCAACATAATCACCAAGAAAGAGATAGTTGGCAGAAGGAGGATAGCCACCATATTCAAAAAGCCTCAGCAGGTCTTGGTACTGTCCATGTATGTCGCCTGCAATAAAAACAACATATTAGGAAAACAACATATATAAACAAGAGAAAGAAGAAAAGAAACAAGTAGAAAGCCAGAAACTTTTGCTGCCACGGAAGGATTAAGTGCTTACAATGCAGATTATCAACAGTTAAGGTGGCATTTAGTCAAGATTGTGTATGACTAATTCTTCAAGCTGGCTATTTCTAGTTTACTTTGTTACTACCAAATGTCTTAAATGCAAGGACTTACTTCTGAAAGAAAGAAAAAAAGGATCAACAGCTGAAGTTGTTAATCGCATATTTGAGTAAGCATTCTTGGACAAGAGCCAAACAGTTAAAGTGTCACTCACAGCTTTGATATTCACAAAATCTTCACTAGAACTTCAAAATAACCATATCATTAACATAGCAATTAGCAAAGAGATTCTGCTTCCAATCTTTCCAACAAAATGCTCACATCTAGACCTTTGCTAGCCGTTACATGATGTTAGCGCACATTTGGAAAAGCAGCCAAACAAATCAGGTACAGTAAATACGCCTCTTTTGTCCATGAGAAATGTTAAAAAATGCAAACTTTTTCCTATCACCTTTTAGATACTTCAGTTTTCATTCTGAATCATTTATTCATCTTAATTAATGTCAAAATCTCTTCTTGTTCAATAAAAGTGTTGAAACAGATTACATTTGCATCGAGATGCTCAGTGAATTTCTTATCACCTATAATTGACTCCATTTGTCAATCAGAAATTACTAATCCATCTGTTGATACTATCGCCAGATGAAGATGGGTGTTGACAATTGCACGAGCACGAAGATTTCCTCTTCACCACGTACTTATCTAAAACAAATCGGCTTTTTTACCCATGTAAAAACAATCAGCAATGCCTAAAACAATGCCACTCCAAAGATGTCATTTACATCCAATGAACCAACACAATGATCCCAATTTCTCCAATAGTGCATGTCCACAGAGACATGCCAATTGCCAACTCAAAATTTCAATGCAAGAGCAGAGACCAATCCAACACAACCCTCTTGTAAAACTAGGATGAAGAAGAGAACAAAATCACCTGAACCAAAACCACTTTCACAAAAAGAAAAAACTCATCCTTAATGAGCACGTACTGACAATCCTACAAGGCATAATTGGTAACGATACACTTCCAATTTCCTTCGTTTTTGGGACCTTTTCGAAAGGAAGGGAGAAAAATGGTATGCATCACAAATTAATTATACCAACCACAACTATCACCCTCTTAGCTATGCGATTCAGGAGCTTAATTAAACACCAACCAACAAAATGCATGTACAAGGGCAAGACAGGACTACAACCAAAAAGAAATGAAAGGCAGGAAAATGATTACCACAGATCCTGATGGGAGCATGAAGTTGGAGAAGACTAGGCTGAGATAAAAAGATTTGACGAGCGTTGACACAAAGCTGCCGGATCTCAGCCTCAGATAGCTGAACCTGCTTCCCTCCTTTCCCTTCCAACAGTCTCCTTATTATATCATCCAGCACCCCTTTAGCCATCATTCCCTCCATTGTCATCATATTCATTAATTCTTGCCAAAAAGAAACAATCCCTTTTTCCCTCTTCCCCTCTTTCCCTAGCCAAACCAAGGAACGAATCACTCAAACAAGGAAATCCCAGAAATTCCAGTGACTTTCTTGACATAAAAATCAAGTCTTTACATGTAAAGAAAGGAAGAGAAACGCAAAAATAAGAAAAGGGTCTTGAGCTATATGCGCTGAATTTTTTCTGTAACTGCTGGATTGGATTGGATTTGGATGTATCTTGATTGCCTGATGATGAGTGGAATTAATGATTGATTAGGAGGAGGATGAAGATTGAAGCCTTATGTTTGAAGCTACAATAATACTTCCAGAAATCAATAAATCACCTTTTGGACCTGTCAATATCTCTCATCGAGTGATGCGTGCTATGCTCGCCTCTATAGCTTTTCTTGTGATTAGGATAAATGCTTCAACAAATTAAAAAAAAAACAAAAAAATGAAGATTCTCAATTCAATACAAAAATGAAAAAAAAAAAGGAAGGTTGAAAAATTCAAAGAAAAGTGGGCAAAATGGGGATTAGAAGATGTTTGACTAAAAGGTCGCGGGGGCGCACGATAACTTTCATTAGTTAGTTACAAACGGAGTTAAAGTTTCTGGTTGGCTAAGGTGGGATGAATCGATATGTGTCTGGTGTTTAGGCACACGTGCAAACTAATGCCAGCAGTCCTTGGTTTGGAATTCGAAAACGCGGTTGAGGTTATTGCAGGCAAAGCGTGTTTTTATAATCCCCGGGTGAAAGCGCGTTTTTCCACGAGGGCTTCATATCATCTCCTTGGTTGGGAGTAAGGAGTTAGGACCGTAGGGTGTGTAGGTCTGCCAATGGATCGGATTTGGATCTCGACCCGACCCAAACCTGCCCAATATATTCGGACACGGATATAATTATAATTATTTCGTTTATTTGGAAGAATAAATTCAAGACCTATTGGATATTTGATTCTAATTCGGTACAAGTACAGCTAATTGAGTTTGGTCCAGAATATTCAATTTCGATCCGGATCCAACCCACTCACATGCCTAGTAGGTTGCTAATGGATATTTATATATCACTTTACTTGTAGAAATGTCAATGGCACCAATTTTTGGATTCATGTGGTTTGTTCCTTGTAAATGTCTTGAGGTTATTTTTCGGCACCAATCATGAATCAGCTTGTAAAGAGTTATAAATTGATTTGTACTATGTTTTTCATTATGCTAGGGGTGAATGCTCTATAGGGGAAATTATTGGGAAAATTATTACCAAAAAAAAAAATGTTTGGAAGTACAGTTTTAGCATTTTTTAAATGTGGTATCTGTAACATTAAAAAGGTAATAAAGAAAATAAAAATTAATAATTGGAAATGTATTTATAATGCAACTAAGTATTTTTTTTTAAATAATAACCAATTCAAACACACTTGTTTTTTAAATTTTAAATTAAGAAAAGCTCGTGTAATTTCGTCTTCTTTCACCATCATAGATCATGATCATGTCATATCCCAAGATCAAGAAGGGAAATTCGGGAATTTCGTCCTTGAATATTTACATTAAAACCAATTTCGTCCTTTATGATTTTCTTTAACTAATTTGGTCCCCAAATTATTTTTCATTATCCAATGTAATATTTCTACGGGGCACCACCAAATTTTACATCTTTTGCGCCACCAGTGAGGGACGTATTTGTCTGATTAAGTCACATTCCATATTAAGCTGCTCAAATGATCTAGTCTGAGTAGACATCTCGTTTTCCTGAGCGTCAATTTTCTTTCGAAGGGCAAATAGCTCATTTTCTCTCTCTTTCACTGTTGCCTCGAAGACGAAAATTCTTTTGTGGAGATTCTCATTGTCAACTTTTAGATAATATGCTTCACTCTTTGTGCTAATTATCCGATCCTCCAATTCAATGGTCTGATTGGATATTGCACATATCTCCTGCTCCAACTCTTCTACCTTCACTTTTTCAGGCCTCGCCTTCTGTTAACTTTTGTCCATTTAAGGCCTGGTTCGTTAACTTAGCTCTAGTCTTCTCCATCTGAATACAACATTCTGATGCTTCTTGAGATTTATTTTTGAGTTGATACCCCAACTTAGACTTTTGGCTGCTGAAGAAATCAAATTATATGTTGCAGAAACTCTTGTTTAACTAGACTAGATACTTGGTTACATCTTTCTTTCATTGCATGCATATGCATTTCTGAGAGTGGAAACTGTCCGCTTCCAGCTGAAGACAACCGGCTCTTGTCATCAGGTCGTCAAATTTAGACAGTGACTGCTTCTTGTCTTCTTCAAATTTCTCAAGAAGAGAGAAAAAAAAATTTGAGATTCTTTCTCTTTTGATGTTGATTCAAGTTTCTCTGATCCAAACTTGTAGTCTTGATTTTTCCTTCCTCATCTGTTTAGCTTCATTAGACATGGTCTTTAACTGTCTCTTCTAAGGCCTTTTCCTGCGAGGTCACTACTGTTTTTAGCTCAAGCTTCGGACTTGTTACCAGCCCCTCTAGCTCCTTTACCTCAAGCAATTTTTGTTACCCCAAAAGCTTGGAGTTTCTTGGTGATAGACACTACCATCTCCTCTTCTTTCTCATGCAATTTTTCCTTTAATTGTGCACATTCATCAGGTAACTCTTGTCTCATGTTTGGAGACTACTCTTCTTGAACCCTTAGATCCTTAAAAATACACTTTGACTGTGGTACTTAATTAAGAGATACTAATGAGTCCATGCTTGGGGTTTCCTTAATTTCACGGGTGGAAGTCAATTTATCATTTAAGATGGCATCTTCAGGGTCTGAATCTTCACATTTTCGATTATCGCGTAAAATGTGCAAAATTTGGTGGCCCCTCAGTTCTACATTGGATAACAAAAAATAGTTTCGGAACTAAATTGATTAAAAAAAATTATGAAGGATGAGATTGGCTTTAGTGTAAATGTTCAGAGATCAAATTGACGAAATTCTTGATCAAGAAAACTTAAAGTATTTATTAGGGAAAAGAGTCCCAATAGCCCTCTAACTTATTCAGAGGTAAAGTTTTAACCCTCCAATAATTAACAATAAAAGTTTAGCCTTCGATCTAATAAAATAGCATATTCGTGACCTTTCTGTCAAATTCAGCAGTTAAAATTAACAGAAAGCATCATCTCGTGAGATGCGCAACCAAATATCAAGGGTATTAAAGTCTCTGAATGGTTTACCAAGCACCTCCACCCCTCCACCAGTGTCACCGCCACTGCTGCCATTGCTCTTGCTTCAGCAATGGGTCTAATCTAGCAGCAAACACTCTCCTGTGGTTCTCAGGACATAGGAGGAGGCCGAATATCATGACAAGTACATTCTTCTTGCCACGATCTATTTCATCCCTGAGGAGCTCCACTAGAGAAGGAATTGCATATGGAATCTCTCCAATTAGTTGCCGGTATTCTTCAATTGAAGCAAGGTAAAAGAATGCACCAGCTGCATGCTGTTGAGCTTCCACTTTCAGTCCACACTTCAAAACATCAAGTATCAGAATCAAACCTCCATTCTCAACAATTATTCTCAACAATTATTTTCCTCCATTCAAAACATCTCTTTCCTTCCCCATTTCTTTCTTGCAATTTACATATAGAGTATAGGCACATAGCATTTGTGCCTGTATTTATATCCATTCAAGAAAGAAAAATCCTATTCCAAATACAGTTCAACAGTCAATAGAGACTAGAAAGAGAGAGAGAGAGAAGCCAAGCCATATAAGAGAGGGACCGGAACAACAGTGTAAAACCAAAACGATGGTAGATAAAGTATACCTGGCAGCCAAGCCCGCTGCCAACGGCACCACTACCACCGCTGCAGCTGCAAACTCAATATTTCGACCCACCAAAGGCAAGCTCTATAATAACACCACGCGCCCTGTCTACTGCCCCCAATCACTCAGCAAGCGTCGCCACCGCCGCAGCTGCTGTTGTTCCTGCTGCCTCTGGACAACCCTCTTCATCATTTCATCCTTGTCCTCGTAGCCGTAGCCGGGGCCGTTTTCTAGGTTATCTACCATCCTCATCGGCCCAACTTCAGCGTCTCCTCTCTTCAACTGTCCCACTTCAACCTCACCTTTACTGGGGTCAACTCCAAATTCAACTTTGCGCTCGTTGCCCGCAACCCCAATAAGAAAATCAAGTTCTTTTAGATCCCATCAATGTTTCCGTACTCTCCCGCGGGGTTGACATTGGTGATGGATCTTTCCCAAATTTCGAACACGGGACTAAAAATACTACCACTTTAAAAACTGTCATTTCCAGCTCAGGTCAAAGGTTCCTGGGAAAGAGATCATAATGCCCTTGATATTTGGCCGCACGTTGCACTAGATGATATTTTCGTTAATTTTAACTGTTAAATTTGACAGAAGAGTCACAAATATGCTATTTTATTAGATCAAGAATTAAAACTTTACTATTAATTTTTTGAGAGTTAAAACTTTATCTGAAAAAGAGTTGGAGGGCTATAGGGACTCTTTTCCCTATTTATTAATCCCATGCTAACATCACTAGTGCGATATGAACGGACAACCTTTTGTCGTCCATATCAATTGAGATTTTTTTTTAAGAAGTGAACAAGAATGTATTTACAAGAGGAAGATTCTCATATGCCTCAAAGAAACACTAACATACTGTACAGAAGCTAACAAAACATTGAACAAGAAAGACCCCAAATCCAAAGCTAATTTTTAACAATGCTCAATTCTAGGACAGACCCCATGAAAGGGACCATGGGCAGGGGAACGGTTCCTAGCGATTTTGTGCATTTTGCACATCGCGTAACTTTATTTATATATGGCGTAACATTATTTGCACAACGTGTAATTTTAAAATAAATTTTTGTGAACCCCACACATGTTATTAAAAATGAAGTATAAGAAACGATCTGAACTGTATAATTTTTTTGAAAAAACTCTTGGCTGTAAACAGCTCAAGAGTGATCCATCTGATGACCGCCTGCCCCTCATCCCCATGAAAGCACGTGTTAGACCTCATTATAATACCAGCTAGAATCCCAGACGGTTGCACCTTATTTATAATAAAATGATTACTGTTTCCCTAAAAGAAACAAGGGTTAATTCCACTTTGTCCCCTCAAACTTTGGGCGATTACCCACTTCAGTCCCTTAACTTCAAAATGGGACACTTAAATCCCTAAACTTATGAATTGCTCCCAGTTAAGGAAAATTGTTGACAGAATCCTGAATGCCGTTGGTGGTTGAAGAGCGTGGCAAACACTCTCCTTTGACTGAGGGCAACAATGAAAATTCACAAAAAATCACATATATAGATTAAAAAAAGATGGTGAAATATGGAGGGAAAGTTTCCCTCCATGCTACCCACTTCAGATGGATAATGTAGACCCGATCCAAATCATAAAAGGACACTTCAGGTCGGTATGCTGAGAGACCCAAGCTGTCATTCTGCTATCCACAAGGCAGGAAGAAGAAAAGGAGAACCCAACGCATGGTTCAACAAACAAAGAGAAATGGTGAGGCAATTTTGTGATTGTGGAAAGCAAACATTGATGATGACATCATGGACTGCCATGAACCCAGGAAGAAGGTTTTGTCGATGTGCCAAGTACAGAGTAAGGGAAATTAGGGTTTTGTGTTTATACTTGTTTTTTATTTTGGGTTTGTATGAATTGCAGCCACCTAATCTTGTCTGCAAACATAATGTTCTTGTCAAACTAGGAACAAGGAGGCTGCATATACTGGGATTGGGTTGATCCTGAGATGTGTCAAAGGTCAAAAGAAATAATACCTGGATTGCTAAGGTCGATGAACAAGATGGAAGCTGAGTTGGATAGGTTGAAAGAAAATTCAAGGTGCCAACAATCGAAAGTGAGAAAGCTAAGGATGTACTTGATTATCCACTGGGTTGCCATTGTCATGTGGTTGTTTTTGTTCAAATCTGGGGGAGAAGGTCCAAAATGAGTTGTAGAAGAAGCGATCGCTTATGGCGGACTGCCCGTTTTGTTTGCTCAAATATGGGACCACCTTTGTCTGTCATTGCTAAGTAGTGGACCTTTTGAGTGGTGCAGGAAGGAAATTCTTGCTTTTGCTGACTATGTAATTAGCAGCACTTTCTCTAAAAGTGCTGGTTTTAAATGTATTGTATCAAATTTAGGGATATAGTGGACCTGCTATGTCCCATAATTGTGAACGTTGGACCTGCTATGTAATCAGAATTTGTTGTTTAGGGATTTTAGTGTCCCAATTTGTAAAGTTTATTGCAAGTAATCTATGTCACATTAACAACAGCAATCAACCAGAACATAAAATTTTCAGCAAAAACCTTTGATCATTCAACAAATCATCCAATACATAATAGCAATACCAGGAATGACAAAAATTCCACATTAACAGCCTCTGAATTTCACCCATCTGGACTAGCAAGACAAAGGCTATATGAGTTCCACAACAGAGGCTACCAAAAACAGAGGCTAACAAAAATTTCATATTAACAAAAAAAATCCTTAGTTCCAATGGACTATATGAGTTGAACAAAAGTTCGCCACATCTGGACTAGCAAAACAGAGGCTTTTACTGCCCAATTTGACTGTATCTGCAAAATAAAAAAGGCTATATGCCTGTACAATTCTTGAGTTGGTTTGTCCAGCATCAGTCAGTTCATGCTTGAAGGCTATTTGGCCTATTGCTGCAATTTTCCCAACTTAACAGATTGGTTTCCATCCCCATGGAGCTGCACATTTTCAATTCCAAGTGACTCCTTCGCATGTCCCGCAGCTGTCTGTAATGTAGACAGCTTAACACACAAATTGCCTTGCCATGTGAATTGTGCTGGCTTAAGTCCACTGCTGGAATGAGAGGCTGTCCCCAAGTCCACGTATGAGTGTGGTGCTCTCATCGTTACTCCGTGGCTGTGGGAATAAAGTTTGCGACCATCAGCTTTGGAGCTTAACTGCAAACAAGCACATAACATGAATCAATAAGACATGACACCCATAAATAAAGACCTGATGTATGGAGACCACTTACATGAGTTGTTGTAGGACTCTTTTTCACATGCTCAGAACTATTTTGAGCATGATTATATGGGTTTTCCAGATCATCAGACCGTATTTTTACAGTTTTGAATCCCAAGTCTCCAGTCATGTCCAGTGAGCTTCTAAAGGTCCATTGCCTCAACTTACAATTATTCTTTGAGTGACCATGCTTACGACAAAATGAGCATTTTCTTCCTTTTTTTGTCACTGGTTCTTGTGCCCATTGTTTTGGCTGATTGGCATCCAAATTTTGAGATGGACCTGTGTGACTCTGTTGCATACTTACTCCAAGTATGTCAACGGTCACATCACTTGGACAAGCCTCGTTAGTACTTGGCTGCATAGATGGACCTGTATCTCCCATATCACTGTTCTCCTTTGCTGAACTTGTAGTTGTCCCCTTAGTGGTTTGCTTATTTTTATCCGGACATCCTCTTTTGTTATGTCCGTATTTTTTGCAGCGGCTGCAGCTCATCATGGTTCCAACCTTGCTAACCTTGTGAGGTTTAGTTGGATTGACACAGCTGTCCCGTCTGTCTTCTTCTGAAGCCTTTTTTCTCATTTTCTTTGGCCTTCCAGCAAATCTTCTATAAGTCGGAGGCTTCATTGCTGGAAGGTCTATGTGCTCCCACAAATTAGGACCATTGATTGGATTAAGTACAGGTTCATAACTTTGTAGATATGTGATCTTCAAGTAGGTGTTGGAAACATGCTTCTCTAGTGCTTCATGTCTCCTGTTGATGGCAGCTACAGCATGGCCACATGGTATTCCCCTTAATTGCCACTTTCTACATGAACAGGTTTTGGCAGCCATGTCAACAATATACTGGTCCCCAAATGGACAGCTTATCTGATACTTCATTGTCCCAACATATGACGCTATGCACATACACTGCTCTTGCTTAGCCTTTTCCAATATCTCAAATATTGCTGGACAAAGAAGACCTGAATACAAAATGAAAACAATAAATTGGTCATAAATTTCTCAAAGAAGTTATGAACTGACCTTAATACTAGTAAATAAATAAAATGTTTCTTAACCTTCGTGCTTGGACATTGCTTCCCTGTTCCTCTCCATCCTCTTCAGCAGGTACAAATAAATGGTCTGCAGCATGGATATGATTGGTAGTGACCTGGCCTTTAAAATTACTGCATTAAAGGACTCACACATATTATTCACCAAAATATCACAATCCAATCCACATCTAAAATGGGCTCTACACCAAGTTTTGGGATCTTTTTCATCAAGCCAAGAATGCGCAGCTGCAGATTCTTGCCCCAACTGTTCCATTTCGACTTTCCAGTGGGTAACATAAGAAGCTTTTGCGCATTTCCAAAGTCTTTCTTTTAAGGCCAGGCCTCTATGAATCTGTTTGAAATTGGTGTATAGATGTTGCACACAACACCTGTGCTCAGCTTGTGGCATTTTGTCTCTAACTGCCTGAACTAGTCCCTGTACACGTTTGAATACAACTTGGCTTAAATAAAAAGTTGTACCTAAGTTATTAAATAAAAAGTTGCTGTATAAATAAGTGCTAATACAATTTATCATACCTTTTGCTTGTCAGTCATGACACACCAATTACTGGAATCTGAAATTTCCAAATCTTGTACAAGCAATCCCAAAAACCAGCTCCAATTGTCATAATTTTCCACTCTAACAACTGACAAAGCTAGTGGAAACATTTTATTATCCCTATCCATACCCACGGCTGTAAGTAGTTGTCCACCATATGTATCCTTTAAGAAGCATCCATCCAACCCAATCCAATGCCTACAGCCCTTTAGAAATCCTCTCTTCAATGGCTCTAAGCACATGTAAAGCCTTTTGAATCTGACAATCCCATCCTCGTCCTCATCCGTCTCAACGAACACTGTCGATCCAGGATTTGCTCTCCTCAATTCACCACAGAAGTCCTCTAACAATGCATACTGTTTTTCATGACTGCCTTCAATTATGTCTCTTACTTTTTTCATTGTCCTATAGCCTTGTTTAAGACTGAAATCTACATTTAATTCTTCAGTCACCCTAGTCATGAGCTCCTGGACTGTCATGGATGGTGTTTTTCTCACCTCATCTACAAACAACCTGGTAGCTAGTTTTGATGTCATGTTTCTATTATGGAAGACACGTCCACAGGTGTGCTCCTTGCTAAGTGTCTTGATCTGGAAAGTGTTTTCACCTTGCATTTTTGAGCCAAAAATTTGCCATTCACAGCCTCTGCATTTCACCCGTACCCTATATGTGTCATTTTTTATGAATTGGAAAAATCCCTTCTCTCCATAATAGCCTGGATTCTAACAGCCAACCTAAAAATAACAACTGATGAAAACCTCTGGCCTACCTTAAATCTTGGACTTCTCATTTCAGTTTTCTCATTAAAAACTGAAAATTTAGGCTTCTTATTTCTCTTACGACCATCTTCATTTTCGGATTCACTCTCACTCTTCAACTCTCTAGAACAATCTGTTTCATATTCTGACTGCATATCCTCCACATTAACCATGTCAGGCTCATCACAAACATTTACTTCGTCAACAGCTTCTCCTTCCCTACCTGCTCTCTTCTTTCTTGTGTCTTTGCTGGTAGAAGGTCCAACTTCAGGAGCTCCTTTATGCACACCAAATTGTTGTCCAATCTTCAAGGCTTCATCAAATAAAACATCATCCTCAACTTGCCCCGTATAATCTGGTTAATCGAACTTGTCATCAGCCTGCATATCATCATTAGCCTGCACATTATTATCAGCCTGCACATCAGTCTCATCAGCTTGGATATCATTATCAGTTGCCATTTGTGATTCTTCCCCTGCATTATCTCTCTTGTTGTCCTTTTCTTGTTGCAAATTAGGACTTTTGGAATCAAAATTCTCATGACTGTTTGTAGCAACTTCATTACTGTTGTCATCAGCCACATTTTTCCTTCTGTTGTCCATATCATTGAAGTCAACTTCTTCCAGTATTGCTATGTCACTGTCCATTTCAGATGTTTCTTTATCTTTTGTATCCTGCTTAGCAGAAGTGTTGTGGCCTTCAGGCATGTCTACATACTCTGTTTTTTGAGTTTGAAACCTCACTGGATTATCATCAGTGCCAACTTGTAGATAAACCTCTGCCACTCTATTCAGTGGCAATGTGTTTACTAGAAGATCACAATCCCAATCACACATGCAAAAATATAGTCCAGTCTCAAGCGGCATACCAGGAATCCTACCATACCACTCAAAACGAGCATCTTTCAGGTATCCTAGTCTTACTGCACATTCATCAAGCACTTGTAGTGACCATTTTTCAGCATTACAGTTATCTATATAGTCTACCCTTCCTCCCACGTATTCTTTGCTGGGAGAGCTTCTGAACTCACCCTGATGGTGTATCGCCAAGGAAAATGAGTCGGGCAAAATATCATTTGGACCACACTCTGGTTAAATAAAAAAATAAATCTTTAATAATTAACCCATTAATTATTAACAACATTTTTAGCATTTGGGACCACAATGTCTTCAACAGAAGGAACATTAGGGTTCCCACAACACTCACTTTTCAGTAAAATATGCAGACCCACTAACAGTACCATAAAAAATATATAATGCCTTGGACATGCATTCCACAACCATCCAAAACCCTAACTTTTCAACAATCATTATGGCTTTAAAACTTTTTTCTACTGCTACCGTAAATTCTTACCCAAATTCCAATTATTAAATTCAATTAAAGTACACAAAAAGCTCTAAAATATTTTTCTCATACCAGTACTTGTCTTCTCTTTTGCTTTCCATTGTTTCGCTGCGGACGCGGACGCTTTTTCTCTCACATTGACTCGCTTTCTTCCCATTCTTGCAATCTTCAGTGTTTTTCAGCAACAATCATTCGGATTTTTACACACTTTGGCTTTACCCCTCCTCTCTATTTTTTCATCCAAGACAGAGGAAAGAAACGACCACTATCTGACTGTTTCGCACTTTCCCTTCTCTGCAATTTGTCTTTGTTTGTCCTTAATTTACGACCCAAATTTACGTTTATGTCCTTGTCATTTTCAGTAACAATATTCCCCCATCTTCATTAACGGAGAGTGTTTGCCACGCTCTTCGACCACCAACGGCATTCAGGATTCTGTCAATAATTTTCCTTAACTGGGAGCAATTCATAAGTTTAGGGATTTAAGTGTCCAATTTTGAAGTTAAGGGATTGAAGTGGGTAATAGCCCAAAGTTTGAGGGGACGAAGTGGAATTAACCCAAGAAACAATGACTAGAAAGTTCTTGTCCCAATTCTGAAAAGATTACCGAATGCATCCTTTATACACTACATTGTAGCACGGTAAAGTATGACAGTTTTTGCTTGATAAATTCTAACGAGTTCCATTAAAAAAAAAAAAAGAAAAGAAAACCTACAAGTACATTGTTTAAATAATAGTGAAACATTTAATAAAACTTGAATGACACGAAAGCAATACAATTGTTCTTTATGTCGGAATTTAAAAAAGAAAAGAATTAAAAAGGAAATGCCTGTTTTCCTGGGTATACAGAGGGTATTTTAGAAACACAAAATGTACTATACCAACAGTAGCAAGAGTACGGGTGGCCACCACCACCACCAAAGACTTTAACTTAAGTCTTGGTGGGTAGAAGGTCAAACGGTTCCATATGTATATTTCAATTTGCATATTTCAATTATATATTATATATATTATATTAATATAAATTGAAATATACAAATTGAAAATTATATATTTATATATTATATAAATATTTATATACATTAATATTATAATAATACTGTATATTATACATAATATAATATTATATACATTATATAATATACATAATATGTAATATTGTATACATAAATGTATAAATATTTATACATAATATATTATGTACATTATATTATAATATATATATTATTAATGTATAATATTATTATGTACACTATTGTGTATAATAATGCATAATAATGTTATTTATAATATATAATATAAATAATATGTAATAATGTATAAATGTATATTATGTATATTATATTATATATATATTATACAAATTGAAAATTATATATTATATATTTATATATTATATAAATATTTATATAAAGAAATATACAATAAATATTACAAATTGAAATATTATATAAAGACCATATTTATAATATTATAATATTTATAATTAATATTAATGTATATTATATATATTAAATATTTATATATTACATATGTATATAATTATTTATACATATTGTAAATATTTTATTTTATTTAAAAAATATAAATGTACATTTATACATAATATATATATATATATATATATATATATATATATATTAATGTATATTTGTAATATACATTTATATTATGTATTATATATAATATAATACATTTATACATTTATATTAATATACATAATATTAAATTTACATTAATACATAATATGAATACATTTATATTAATTATATTAATACATTTATACATAATATTAATATATATTTATAATATATTAATTTATACATTTATATAATATTCATTTATAATTTATACATTTATAATAATATACACTTATACATTTAAATACATTTATAATACATTTATAAATATAATACATTTATATATTTTTATATAACATATAAATATATTTATTTATAAATATTTATAAATGCATTATAAATGCATAAATGTATATTTATATAAAAATTATAAATTATAAATTATAATTTATACATTTATATAATATTCATTTATAATTTATACATTTATAATAATATACATTTATACATTTATAAATATATTTATATTATGTATTATATATAATATAATACATTTATATATATTTATATAAGTATATAAATATATTTATTTATAAATATTTATAAATGTATTATAAATGCATAAATATATATAAATATAAAAATTATGAATTATAAATTATAAAAATACTCAAAAATATGTTTTAAAAATACCTCTAAAAATAATCCAAAAAACATCTACTACAAAAGTTTTTCATATAGTTTTTGAAAAACAACCCCAAAAATAACTAATCCAAACGGACTTGTATTTTAAAAATGAAATGCTACAGTGCTGTTTTTGAAAAATAACCCCAAAAACAGCTAATCCAAACGGAGTGAATTTTCTCAAATTCATACCGGTGCTTAGTGCACTCGTCTCGTCCAATGGTGTACATTTATAATAATATATACTTATACATTTATAAATATATTTATATTATGTATTATATATAATATAATAAATTTATATATTTATATATAAATATATAATTATATTTATTTATAAATATTTATAAATGCATAAATGTATATTTATATAAAAATATAAAAATTATAAATTATAAATTATACATTTATATAATATTCATTTATAATTTATACATTTATAAATATATTTATATTATGTATTAATATATTTATTTATAAATGTATTATAAATGCATAAATGTATATAAATATAAAAATATAAAAATTATAAATTATAAAAATACTCAAAAATATGTTTTAAAAATACCTCTAAAAATAATCCAAAAAACATCTATAGCAAAAGTTTTTCATATAGTTTTTGAAAAACAACCCCAAAAACAACTAATCCAAACGGACTTGTATTTCAAAAATGAAATGCTACAGTGCTGTTTTTGAAAAATAACCCCAAAAACAGCTAATCCAAACTGAGTGATTTTCTCAAATTCATACCGATGCTTAGTGCACTCGTTTTGTCTAATGGTGATTCAGTCTCCATCGACTTTTCTATAGGCCTAATTAGGCCTCCCCTAGATTAGGTTAAAATAGGAATAGAGTAGATAAATGACGAATTAAAAAAAAAAAACAATAGCAAGAGTATAGTGTTTAGGCTTAAAAAAATTAGGATAGGATATTAAAACATATTGGAAATGTGAGGATGAAAAATGAGGGGAAGTTGAAAGTGGTGGGGAAAGAAAGGGGAGTATGGTAATTAGTAATTAATATCTTGTTTTGGAACGGGAGAGGTTCCAGAGCAAAGGGAGGCAGCACTTTTTTTTTTTCAGCAATGATATATTTGTATAACCTACTCTATTCTAATATAAGGGGGGGCCTAAGGAGACTGTTGTAGAGACTAGTGGGTATACAGACCCA